GGTCTATGGCTAAGTCCAATGCGTTGGGTCACTCCCCCGAACCCCTCTAAGACCACTCCAACACCCACTGGGTTCCTTCGAACCATAACAGAAAATGGAAGTCAAGCCATGGACTCGCCGAGTCCTAAGAACGACTCGACGAGTTGAGAATGACCAAGGCTCATTTCTCGATTTCTGATGTACAACACTCAACCAAAAGATAGATCTAGGCTTCTAAGATTGATCTAGCACATAAAGTTACAAACTCTACGTGCATGCATGGGATAATGAGCTCAAATGGCCCTAAATGAGACTCTTAAGATGCATGGGGCTCTCTAAGGCTCAAAATTAGTCCCTATCTGCCTTGTAACCCTTTAAAGACCTTGGATCTGAAGTCTTAGCCCCCAACCATGCTTGCACTCATGATTGGTCACCAAGAATGCCTCCTAAAAGCCCTAAATCACCCCAAAAAGGGATTTAAAACATGAAATAGCAAGGTATCAGCTTTATACCTCTAAAGTACTGCAGAGGGTGAACAACCTCGAACTCCTCTGGCCTCCTCTTGATTCCTCAAGCCTTTCTCTTCTTTCTTATGTTCCAAAATCACCAGAAACCACCACAAAGGCCTTAGATCTTTACACGAACGATTAGGGTTTTACTTAAATAGTACCTACTCGCCGAGTCACTCTACCGACTCGCCGAGTAGGTCACTTAAAATGTTCGCGGGTCCCGACTCTACTCGACGAGTTGGGCCTCCAACTCATCGAGTCCTAGAGAAAAACATAAGCATACAAAAATACTTTGAATTAAGTGTGTACCAGGAATCGAGTGCTACAAATCATACACTCCACTAATGACTTGGCATGGTGCAAAGTGTAATTTCATGGAATAAGATCATTTTCACATTTTTCCTAAAGTAACTGAGATTGAGAATTTATAAAAACATTTAGTTACTTGTAGATCATTATACTTATTAATGAGGAATTAGTTGCCCTTTCCTACCCATTCGTGCTTAAGGTTTTTAGTTTTGGTTTCAGATACTTCGTTTTCAAAGGAAAGGAACTGGCTCGATCATCGCATCACAATATGTTTTCCATACATGAGATCTTTGAGATTACACTCTAATATTATTTTATGATAATATGTTTTGATTATTGACACTTTGGTTTGACATGGGATGTTATTATGGATGTTTTCTTATAGTGTTGGTTTTATAATAACTTAATTAAAATGAAAATTTTGGTCTTGAATTTTAGGATTTTACAATATATATATATATATATATATATATATATATATATATATATATATATATATATATATATCACAAAAAATATTATATACAATATTATGATTATCTTCATACCTATATAGTTAACTATAACGATTATTATTGTCACTAAATCTTTATTTATAAATTTATCACAAATGTCATAGTTGTGTCGTCAAACTATTTTTTTCATGAAGTATTGCTCATGGTTATTTTAGCCGATTGATCTTCCAATATGCTAATTTCAACAACTCTCATTATTTACATTTCTTCCTAGTTGCTTGCCCTGTAGTAGGTATATGCTTTACTGCTTTAGGTATCAACAGTATAGATTTCAACCTAAGTGGTTTCAATTTCAGCTAATCATAGTTGATACTTGATAGTTAACGCTGTGTAATTAATACTTGGGTTGATATCGTCAACCGTGCTAACCATGGTATGAATGTTATACATGAACGTAATGCTCATAATTTCCTTCTAGACTTAGGTGCTATCGAAGCTTCATCTACAAATGAATAAGACTTTTGTCTTATTGTAATTATATATGAGTTTTTGAACTAAAAAATGAGCAATAATGTCTTCTTGATAAAACAAGAAGGAAGCTATTGTTGTTTTTTTTACTTAGTAGTATTTGTCTCACGTAGTTTCTTTAAAAATAACAAAGTCTTTTGTTTGGTTTGGTTAACATGTTTTCTCTTGGTATTAGTTTAGAGGTTCATATATCATTTTCCCAATGTTTTATGAAGTTTGATTTCCTTGAAATTCATTCTAAAACATATAAAAATGAAATTTTTTATTATTTATTTCTTTATTTTCAGAAATAAGAAAGAAAAAAAAAAAAAGAAATAATATGTTTTTTTACGTTGATAGAAAAAATATAAAAATACTAGAAAATAGTAGAGAGCCGGATGTAGCAAAATGGATCAAGGCAATGGATTGTAAATCCACCACGCGAAGCTTAAATTCTCGTCTTTTGCCCAAATTTAATTTATTTGTTTAATAAATTGTTTACTACAAACGAATTTTTTTAGTGAACTTGCCGCCGTTTCCATCTTTTTTTTTTAGTAAAGACGAAGAAAGAAATTCTATTTTCTCTCATATTTACTATGACGATGAAGAATCAAATTATCACTATATTTATTTCTTTTTCTATATATTTTTTCTAAGTTCATGATAAACCCAAGGGGTTGTGGGTTGTTTTCTACCAATTGAGGCCTTCCCTTCACCACCCCCATGTGGATGGTCTATATGGTTCATAACTATTCCTCTTACTGCATGGCGCTTACCTAGCCAACACTTAGATCCAACTCTACCCAAACTTTTTTGGTTCACCCAACATTCCCCACTTGTCCAACTGTTGTTGAGCAGTTCTTGGTAGGGGTGAGCACCGAAACAGGGTACTCACTTTCGGAGCTGAAACCACCTTGGAACCGCCGGTTCTGGAACCGAAACTGCCTAAAGCGGTTCCAGTTCCGATTCTTAAAGTTTTGGAATCGCTTTAAGCGGTTTCGGTTCCGGTTCTCATTCTTTTGGAACCGCTACCTGCTGGGTATCCGTCGAAACCAATTTATATATATATATATATATATATATATATATATATATATATATATATATATATATATATATATATATATATATATATATATATATATATATATATATTATGTGAGATGTTAAAGTTCCTGTTGTAATTGCAATTAATACTCGGTTACAGTAAGCATGAAATATAAAACTAGTTAATATTAGGGATGTCAACGAGGGCAAACGGGGCGGGGATTGCATCCCCCGCCCCCACCCCCGAAAATTTCCTGTTCCCCGTCCCCACCCCCGCCCCCGAAATCTCTAGCCTCCCCATCCCCGCCCCCGCCCCGAATCCCAGGATTATCCCCGCCTCCGTTTGGGTTGAATTTTTTTTGGGCGAACGAAGGTATAGTTTATTCTAAAATAAGTTATTTTTTGAACTAAAAGAAATCATTTTTGATATAAATAGTTATTTATAACATAAGTTTATATATTTAAAATAAACATATTATAACATCTTAAAAATGTTATATTATAAGCTTTAAAACATGATATTTAATTAAATTTTAGAAGTTCAAAATCATTGTTATTATTTATTATATTTTTATAATTAATATTTATTAATATAAATAATATATTAACGGGGTACCCATTGGGGGTTCGGGACGGGACTACCCACCCCCACCCCCGCCCCGAAACTAAAACGGGGGTTAACATTGCCCCCACCCCCGCCTTCGTACTCTGATTTTTTAAACAAATATTCTTCATTTGGGATTGGAACCCCACGGGTTCGGGATCCCACAAAACTTTTTGACATCCCTAATTAATATCCTACATTATGTGTTGTGCACAATTAACTATTTGTTATGTGTTTAAGATTCTTTTTGTATATCAATAGATGATCATCACATATATATTTATAAACTATAAAAGCAAGCTTATGTAATTTAACATGTGCATATCGAAGGTATGTTTTTTTTAAACAACATGATATTGTTTATAATTTATAACGTAAGCCATGATCTTGTAAATTTTTTGTATAACATCATTGTTTTTTTTTATGTTTTTTTAATTAGACACCGGGTACCCAAAACGGAACCGGTTCCGGGAACGGTTCCAAATTTTTAGGAACCGATGTAACCGGTTCCGATTCCGGTTCCAATATGTTAGGAACCGCCGGTTCCGGTTCCAATAAATTTGGTCGGGTACCTGCTTGTGCTCACCCCTAGTTCTTGGATATTTAATAGACTTCCCCAAAATGTAATTTTAATGTGGCTAATTTCCCTTCTTTTACAATCAGTTTCGCTATAACACTCATTGCTCTAGCTAATTGTCCACCATTTCTAAGCGTGATTTCTATGTTATGTATGGTTATGCTTAATGGTGTATCAGTTAAATTATATTATTCTTTTTTATCAATCACAACTCCTCAAACTTTACAAGCTTCTTCCAAAACATATAACTTTTGGATGTAGATGATTATATTTATACAAATGGATCTTATATATGTGGTATAACGAAATACTACATGAGTGGATATATAGAAATCAAAATCTACTGAATCATTCATGTTATGATCTTCTACATCCTACGTCTTCCCGTTCCATTATTTGACTTATGTTCTTCATGTAACATTTAGATCAGATGACTATGAAATTACGTTGATACTTCCACATATTATGGGTAACCTAGCTTTCATTCCAAATTGTTTATCCCATATAAAATTGGAATAAATTTAAGTTTTAATTAAAAAAAAAACATATATTTTTTTTACTAGAATATATCCAAAGAAGTTAGAGAAATTTTGGTCCATAAAAAGGATGCACAAAATTTTGTAGATATCCAATTTTCTAAAAAACTAAGAGAGATGGGTGTGGGCAACGCCCATACGAGTTACTAAGCTAAAAAACAAAAAAACGCCGTTACCAAATGTGATGGTGGTAACAGGAAGTAACGCGAAAACCTTTAATATTTAATAACAGGAGAAAGAGACGGTGTTCATTGGCGTTATCACGTGTTATGAGATACAATAACGGGATCCACTCCGAGTAGTTTAATATTTTCACGTGGTGGAAGTAAAAAAAAAAAAAAATTACACAAAAAAAAAAAAAAAAAAAAAAAAAAAAAACATAGTAAACTTGGTTTTTTACTACTTAAAAATATAAAAATAAATTTTATTTTCTTTAACATTAAATTCGATTTTTATGTACCATAGGAATTGATGCAGCTTTGTAAACAATTCAAATTCCGTCCGTTGGGGAAAAGCCCCAAAACTTCCCTCGTTCGTGGTTCTTGACATATTAGGGTTTTAGCAACTCGTTTTGCCATAACTATCGAGCTCAAAACTTCTGCAATTTTCACAATTTAGTTGTAGTTACATACTTAAAGTTCAGTTCTTACATATTTTACTTCGTCGCTGTCTGATCCTTCTATTTATAGCATGAAGTTGCAAACCCTCAATTCACCATTGCTTGAAAATTTAGAACCAATGTTAAACGAATCAATCTACCACTTTCTAGTTGAGTTTCAGAAAGGTAGAACCGATTTTTCAGAACTCGGTTCCATTTTCTTCCGTTTGACCCAGACGATGACAGACCCACCGCTTGAATTCATCTGGTTTTACTCTGCACTCACATTTCAAACCGCTAAATCATCCAACTTAAGAGATCCACATAATTTTTTGCTGTCCCTTAAGGACTTGTTTCACTCCATTGTTTCGTTTCGGATTCCCTCTGATAGCAGCTACTTGACGCAAGTGTCTCTTCTCGCCCCGGTTCTATACCAATTAGTTAACTTAAAATTTCTGATTTCTAGCTTTAAGGCCGAGATCGAGGGTTTAGTGGATGCAGTAGTTAGTCACATAATTTTGTGTTGCAATAATGATTTGATAGAACAGGAGGTTAGGGTTTATAAATCAAGTGTGAGTTGGGTTAGTCTAGTGCCAATCTGGATCGCTGATCAGGTTAATGAGAATCAAGGTCGCGTAGATGGTTTGCAGTTGTTTTTCCCTCTTTCAACTGAAGATATTCGTCAGGGAATTAATGAGGATAGTGGAATGGCTTACCTTGCTGGGGTTGTTATGATCGAGTCCTTTCTGTTGAGGTTGTGTCTAATGTTTGATTCAGAAGCTTCCCGGAAGGAATTGCACAAGGATGTCAAAAGTTACGCTGCTCAGATTATCAAGGGGTTCAAGAAGAATCCAACCTTTTTAGGTGAGATTTTACATGATCCTTTACAAGATTTATGAGAACATATTTGCACAAACTTGCAAACCACTGTTACCTTATTAATGTCTTCAAATTAAGTTCAATATGATTGTTACCTTATTACTGTCTTCAAATTAAGTTCAATATGATTAATGGGTTCCAAAGTCTTACAAATCATTCCCATGGTAACAGTTTTTTTCATCTTTTCTATCTGCTCTCAGTTATGCTTTTCAAACTGCTATTGGAATCAAATTTGCCTGTAGCTGAGCTCTTGGTTAGTTTTTTTATACAATCAACTTATACAGTCTTTCTGATACTGTACTACAAAAGATAAGTATCCTGACATGTTCTTACAGTCTTCAACAGATGAACTCCTCCTGAAGAAACTGCTTTTTTGATGTTGCATTGGATTTGGGGTCTTTTCTCAATTATGATACTTCCACATGGCTCTCAGATGTTCAGTACAAAGACATAGCCATCCTTTGGTTGTTTCTCACAAACTCTGCATTGCAGTTTGCAAGGTGAGCCATAGTTATTGTATCTGTAGAACAGCAAAAACAGTTATCATGTTGTTCCATCATCGCATATAGATATATTTGAAAGATATACCTTTTTTTTTTTTTTGTTTTTTGTTTGCAGTGAAAATGGTGACCATGCTGGAGTCGGTTGTTATATGAATGGCTTTTCAACATCTCAGCTCCCACGACAGATAATTTCATGGGTCACTAGTGGGACCAATATGAAACCAACCACACCTGATATTTCCTCCCCCAAGGACCTTATTGGTACATTACTTTTCATAACTTGCATTCCCACATAAAGACAAGGGCTTTTCACGTCTTTTGCACAAATGAGAGATTAAGAGCGAGAAAAATTGCAATTTTGTCCCGTTGACATTGGTCTCATTTCCATTCCAATGCACGCGAAAAACGAAAAACTAAAAAGTCGTCTTGTCTTGTCTTGTCTTGTCAGGTCAGGTCATGTCATGTCCTGTAATTTTGTATCATTGACATCAGTCTGATTCACAAATTCAGGTTGGCTGCTGGTATTGGAAAAACAAGGGCTTAAAGTATGCGATTACAGCATCTCGGGGTTACATGAGAAAACTTTAAAGGACAAAAAGTCAATGGGAGTCAACAATGGAGTCAAAGATGGAGATAGTATGATTGAGGATGCACCCATTCAGATCAATGGGAGAAGAAAACGCGATACCATGGGGTTCGAGTGTGAGGTACAAAAGCAGATTAAGGTCATAAAGTGTTGTCATGAGAATCAGGGCGATGGCGGATTCCGTAGTAAAAATGAAGTTGGAAACGCGGTTTCCGATCAGGAGATGGTGGATATGGTCAGGTGAGGTGACCACTGCATTGGTAGAGTTGTACAATGTGCTGTTAAAAATGTTTATTAATTCAGAATTTTTAGTTCAAGTAAAATTAATAGGTTCAGTTAGTAGTTCCTGACTTTGTGAGTGTTGAAAAAAAGCAACCCAATTGAATTGGAGCGTTCATATTATATGATATTGAAAATTTGATGGTAGAATGGTGGTTCTTGTGACTACAACAAAGAAGTTAAGAGCAGTGATGTTATTATTCAACCATGCTTGGATAACATTAATGAAGCAAAAAAATTGGTACGTTTTTATTGGGTAATTTTTTTTTTCAATTAATTAAATCAAATTGCTTAAATATCTAAGACGGGGTGAACTTTTTTCATCTTGAAAGTGCTTTTTGGTGATTAAGTTAAACGTTATTGTTGAGAAAATCATTGTGCATTGTCTAGTTTGCATACATGTATATAAAGTAGGAAATCAGATGGAGATACTATTGTGAAGAAGAATCATATTGTATTAATAAAGAAATCATTCTCTTTTAATAAATTTTATTATACGAAATATGTTTTTAAATTCGACGTTTAAGGATATATATTAAAATTTATGATTGTAAAGTAACCCAATTACCGACAAATAAATATTTTAAAGGCAACTAGATTCCTTATCGATTGTATATATAATGATAAAAACCAATAAACTTATAAAAATATATTTTATATAAAATAATAAAATGATCAAATATCAGAAATTGGAGATATCAAGAGTAAATTGGGGAAAAAGAAATGAAAAAAAAATGTCGGTATCTAACTCTGGTTAGATTATTAACCATGCTATTTGGTTAATTATTAAATTAGAAGATAGAGAGAGGAGGTGTGGGCCAGTCCCCACTCGTGATCTGTACATAAATACAAGAGCGTCGGTCGCACAATGGGCTCTTGAGGTTATTTACACTTTTGGACCTCATTGTTTTTCTTTTTCATTTTGCTCACTATAGTTTAAATCTACTTTTGTTTTGTTTTTTGTTTTTTTGTTTTTTTATTTGGCAAGATCGATAAAATGATCACTCTGATTTCATATTATACAGTTAGATAATCGAGTAAAAATTTTAAACAATCTTCTGCTTATACTATTTTTTTATATAAAACGTTTCATTTTTTATAATATTAATCTATTTATATTACCATTATATAGCTAATTTGTAGCGAAAGAATAAAAACAAGAACACGGGGAAAATCTTCAAATACATGTGATATTATGTTAAATTCCTTTCATTTGAGATTGACGAAAGACTATTGACACATGATTGTCCGATAATAAGAACACATGAACATAATGACCTAAAGAAGAAATGACGTGACCCTTCATGAAGTTTCATCACCCCCTTTTTCATGTTAAGACTCTTCATTATCAAATGAGTACATCTTTTATGTTTTAAAATTCCGGATGCAACAATATGGTAAGTACAATGATTAACTTGATATTCTTGTAGCGCTTAACTATTTTAACCTTATTCCCCTCTAAAATATTCTCTATGTTCATGCAACGAACATAAAGTTTAACAAGTTCAATATTTATATTTAAGATTTAAAAAAACTAGTTAAACAAAAACAAATTGATTTTGCGAGTACCCATGAGGTGACTTGTAGAAAAGCTTGGTGTGTAAATATTAGTTCATTAATAACCACCCAAGCTAAGTTTGAATCTACTATGTTTGGCAAGCTCAAGTCGAGTCAACTCAATTTGTTTGACTATTTGACTTTCACCCGAACCTCATATACATTATACATAGAAGGTCTAGGGTTCAAACCATGTCACACCAAAATACTGCTAATGTTTTGTGATTTTTCTCCCACATGGACCTTGAAGCGGGTTGATGTGCGTTCGAATGGTGCGGTTTACCATTTGTTCTACATTTCACATTATAATTTAAATAAGTTGGCCCATTATTCTTTAACATTTCTTGGGTTTTTAGCAAAATTTCATAGTGATAATCAATTTAAAGTGTTTATTTTTAAAATTATATGAGTTCTTACCCCTATAAAATTAAGTTTATATTAAAACCAAACTAGATTAGAATTTTTACAATCAAGCCATTTGATATTATCGGCATTCTTTCATATACCCATTAATTTTTTGCATCCTCTCTCTCTCTCTCTCTCTCTCTCTCTCTCTCTCTCTTCAAAGACGAACTTCACATATACTTTGAAAATTTTGGAATAACATATATTGATGGAAAGAATACAACTGTGGGCATAATGAAAATATATAAAAACTATAGGGGCCAACATTGCCATTTGGGTATGATACGCATACATACACATAACGAGGGTCGCTCCCTATATATAGACAGAGAGAGAGAGAAAATCACACACTTCGCTACTCAGATATCGAGAGCCAAAAACGTAGATTCGTATATAAACAAATTGATGCCAATAATGGCGGATTCAAGCGATTCTGTCGCCATTGACATGGACACAAGCTCTCCTGGTGGAAAGGTTAGAAGATACATTTCACCGTTTACATGTATATATCGAGGAATTGCCACATTTATGTATGTGTATTCTGATTTTATGGTAGTTTAATTGTTAAGGTTTTTATTTGTTTACTTATCGACCGATTATTATTGAATGATCTTCAGCCATGGTTTTCATTGATTGATTGCAAAAAATAGATACTACATTTCAAGGCAACTGTTCAATCTGTTGGGATTTGATCTCGAAATCAATTAGTTAAGACTTACGATCCGTTATTTGTATAGGACGACTTTTTCCAAAGTGATACAGAATTGTTGCAAATATGATTCATGTCGAATAGCTAGCTACTTGAAAGGAACTGGAGATGACTGGATAATTTAGGTTTAAAACATGATTGAACAATGAGCTCAAATCTTTTGAATTAAGAAGTAAGACTAATAAATATTGGTGTGAAACGAGTGTCGGATGCATGAATTCTACAAATATTTATCATACAGGGTGCGTATATGTGTATATACAAGTCTATATATATGACTATATCCACAAGAGTAGCAAAATAACTGATCTTATAGTACAGATAATGAGTTAATAAAATAAATACATCTTATAATTAACCCGTGATATTCTAATTTATGTGTCAATATCACCAAACTATAAAAAGAAAAGAGTTTGTTGCCTTTGTGCTGTCTTATTTTTTTTTCTTTACAGCTCTACTGGCATGAGGCTTAAGTTTTACTTGTAATTAATATTTGATGTAGCTGTCTCCTCTTTATATAATGTAATTAGAATTGTGGAGAGGCGTTAAAACTTAAAACTTAAAACTTAATTAATTGTGTTCCCTTCTTGTTAATTACCTTCTGTTCTTAACTCATCTGTTTATTTACACGATGATTCCCCTTCCCTTTTTTGTAATTGACGACAACCGTACATAAATATTTTGGATTCTTTATCCCTTTTTGTGGAGGTGATATAATTTTTTATTGGGAGGGAGGTACTATCAGAAGCTTTTATTTCACTTCAAACATTTGCGCTCTTTTCGGTTATTTTATTAGAAAAGGTTCAGTAACTTTAAGTGTTTGGTAATTGGTATGGTAGGTATTGTCTAATCAAGATCTAAACAGCTTCTTACTTTATCTGTAAACTTGTCAAATATGAACCAAATCACAGTGTACATTTTTTGGGAATAAAACATATTGAAGGGAGGATTCTCTTATAAAGAAACTGGTTTTGATTTTTGAATACTGTAAGGAATCAAAGAAACATTCTTGTAAACAATGACATGAAGTAAGTAAATGGGAATGTGTCAGAAAATTGTAGATCAAATGATTATTCTTTATATCAATTTCTTGAAAAAAAATCATCATTGTCTACTCCCATATTCCCATTCATCTTTATGAGAGCTTTTGTCTATTAAATAGTAATTTTTACCCTTGTGTGAGTAGCTTGAAAGTTAAATCTACACTCATGGAATCAATTACTTGGTATAAAAGTAGGATGATCCTTATAAAGCGTTACACCTTAAAAAGTTGAGTGGTAAAATCCTTCCTTTTGACCAAAATAGTTAGTTGTCTTTATGTAAATTAATAGTTTCCTTAATTAATGCATCCACCACACCAGGAGCACATTGTCGAAACTGCCACTGGATCTATTTCTGTTGCCATCTTGGGGGACCCTGATAAGCCAGCTCTGATTACATATCCTGATTTAGCTTTAAATTGTAAGTGAAATACTTAAATCACTAAAAATGTTTTTTTTTTTTTTTTTTTTTTTTTTTTTTTTTTTTTTTAAGATTAATTAATAAGAGTATACTTTATGTTTTTAATTGTGTGCAGATATGTCCTGTTTCCAAGGATTGTTCCTATGCCCAGAAGCATTTTCTTTACTGCTTCATAATTTCTGCATTTACCACATCAGTCCTCCTGGCCATGGCCATGAGGTCAGTAATCCCTAACTTCACCATTTACTGTTTTATACCTTCAAACTTACAATTTGATATAGATAAAGTTTTTGCTTCTGCAGTTGGGAGCTGCTTCTGCCATGTCATATGATTATGATGATGATCTGGCATTATCTGCTGATGACTTGGCAGACCAGGTGGCTGAGGTTCTTGATCACTTTGGGTAATTATATTTTTATCTATTCCCTCTTAATAAACTCATGACTGACTGTTGAGTTTGAAAAAGTTGAATAGACGTCTGAATTAATTGTTCTTCCCGCCTCCAGACTTGGTGCAGTTATGTGCTTGGGGGTAACAGCGGGTGCGTATGTACTCACCCTGTTTGCTGTAAGCTCACTCTGACTCCTACTTAATATTTATACGATAATTTAATCCTAGCTACTAGATTAATATTTGTTTATGTTTTATGGGGAACAGATAAAGTATACACGTCGTGTAGCTGGTCTTATACTTATTTCACCTCTATGCAAAGCACCTTCTTGGTCGGAATGGCTGTCTAACAAGGTTAGTTTCGTAATATTATCATTCCAACCCCAGGTTGAATAATGAGTTGAGACAAAAATAAATGGTTCTTTTCCTTTTCAGGTTATGTCGAACGTACTGTACTATTATGGAATGTGTGGTCTAGTAAAAGAATTATTGTTGACTCGTTATTTCAGCAAGGTACAAAAAAATCTTCTCCGTTTTATGTTCATGATTTCATATCATATGCCAATTTCACAAAATAAATTATTCGTTTAACGACAGGAAGTTCGTGAATCAGACATGGTTGATTCTTGTAGAAGAGTAAGATTACCATTTCTTCTACTTTAATTTAATGCGTGTAAAATTAGGTTTAGAAAATTTACACCGCTTTTGTACTACAGTCGTTGGA